GCTGCCGTCCTCACACCCGCTGGATCTCAAACAGCTTGACGTCCGTGTCGTACCAGACGGGTGGGTCCACATTCCTGCCAAGGGAGTGGGCGCCAGCTGGGTGCTGGAGGCCTTGCAGAGGTCCCGGGGAGGCGCTGGGCGGGGTCAGGCCCAAACCCTTCCGCCCTGGCACGGCCCCGGGCAGAGGGTGCGTGCCTCACCCAGAGACCCCTGGGGACAGTCCAGACACTAAGCCCGCTGGAGCGCGGGACAGGGCCGAGCCCCCTGGGCCGACCCCGTGGACAGCGGACCGGCCGGGACCCACCTCAGATAGATGACGCCCCACATGTAGGTGCGGAACCACGTGGCAGTGCCCGAGTTGGCCTGGTACTTGCGGATGAGGATGGGGTGCGGCACCGGCAGCAGCCCCACCAGGGTGCCGTGCCTCAGGAACCTCAGGATCTGTGACTCATCCGTCAGGCCCCTGCCAGGGCCGAGTCCTCAGGCGGGGCCCACTGGCCCCCCGCCCCCGCCCCCACCCCAGTGGGGCCCGGCCACCGCCCACCGCCTCACTTGTCAATGCAGATCTTCTCCACCTGAGGGACCAGCACCTGCAGCAGCCTCATGATGGTCTGCAGGGGCAGCTTGGACTTCCAGGACAGGACCTGGGGGAGGACCCGGGTTCCTGGGCTGGGAGAGCAGCCCCGCGCCCCGGGCCTGGCCCTGACCTGCAACCACGGGCCCCCGAGGCAGAAGGCAGCCCCCGCCCCGCTCCCGGCAGCAGGGGCCTGAGCCCTGAAAGGAGACCGCGCTGGATATCAAGGGGGCCACGAGCCAGCACCTGGCCCCTTCACCCTCAAGGGCGGGGCTGGCCAGGGCTGTTGACCAAGGGGACTCGAGGCGAGGGGGACACAGGGAGTGGGCGAGCGATGGAGGAAGGAAGCGGACTAGGGGTACAGGTTCATTGAGCAAGCCGTGCCGGTGGCATCTGGAACACACACGGGTGGGCGGGTTCTGGGCCAGTGCGGACATGAAGAACCAGGCCAGAAAGGCCAAGGCTGGTCAGCGGGGAGGACTGACCCTGAACCTGGGTGCAGGCCAGCGCCTGCAAGCGGGCACACCCCCATGGAGCCTGCACTGAGCTGTCTCTGGGGCCAGGGCCCCAGCCCAGCCCCCACCTCGGCACCACCGCCCACACCCTCACCCACTCCGGCGTCGGGTTCCACTGTCCACCGGCCGACGCGCTGGACAGTCGCCGCTGCTCCCGCCAGGCCTGGCTGGGCTCCTGATCCTGGGGAAGGACAGGGTGGAGGGGGCGCTGGCTCCCAGCGGTGGGGAGAGCCCAGCCCAGCACCCTTTGCCCTGGGCCCCAGGCCCTGCCCGACCCAGCCCAAGTGGGTGACAGGTTTAGGGCCGGCGGTCGGCTGGGAAGCTGGGTAAAGGCCAGCCCAGCCTCAGATAAGGCTGATGGATGAGGCTCAAGCCCTTGACCATCAAACAAGGGAGGAGTCTTCCCACCGCCCCCGCAGCCATGTGCCAACCTGGAGGCCTGACCTCTGCCACGGTGACCCCGCGCGTCCTGGTGTGGCAACACCACAGGCCGGGGAGAAAGGGAGTGCCAGGGCCCACCCACCACGGGAGCCGGCCACCCGCCGTCACCTACCTCCGTGGCCGGGCTGCCGTCCTCTGAGCCTGGCTGGGACGCGGGCTCCAGGGACCGTAAGGTGCCGTCCTCAGCCACCTGGGACTTCTCCGTCAGCTTGTCTATGCCTGGGGGCGGGGCGCAAGGACACCTGCCACGGTGCCCCTTCTAGAAGATCGGGACAGCGCCCGGCTTTCCTCCACCCACTGCGGACGCGTGCAGCCTGCGCCCTCCAGACCCCACCCCTGGGTCGACCCCTCCCCCAGCCCCCAGCGCTCACACCTCTTCCCGAGGCCTGGGTCCCCCTCCTGGGCCCACCCAATACCCCGACCCTCATTCCTTTGCCCATTCCTGTTGCCAGCCTGGGGTAACGCCCCCCAAGGCCCCCACCGTGCCAGCATCCACCCCCTGCCACACCAGTTCCGAACCTGGGGTGGCCACCAGGCTGGTCTTGAGGGTGCCGGGCTCAGCAGGGGCGGCCGGCCGCGAGCCCTCCATGGAGGCGCCCTCCTGGGAGCCGGTGCGAGACAGGGGCTCGGGCGCCCGCCGGCGCCGCTGCAGCGCCTTGTGGATGGCGGGGGCGTCGGTGGGCAGGTTGGCCAGCTGGTGGAAGACGCTGCGCTTGCGGATGATGGCGTAGACCAGGTTGGAGTTGCCTGCAGGGGAGCGGCCCGCCTCAGGGAGGCTCCTCCCAGCCAGCGCGGGGGCAAGGCGAGCAGGGCCGCCGGTGGGGGGGCGCAGCACGGCCACCTCTCAGCCCCTGCCTCTCAGCTCTACGGCTCGCCACCTCACCCTGCTGCACGGGTTCCCCCCCCCCCCAAGAAACCTCCTACCCCCACGCAGCCCCTCCTCGTGCACCGGCCCAGACTGCTCACTTTGCAACTGCCAGCAGCTGCTGGTGCTTACGTCACCAGGCATGTCCTCAGGGCTCTTTGTGGGTTATTTACTAAGTCCTCCAACACCCTCTGAGACAGGCACTCAGTACTATTATGGGGACTGTCCCCTGGTGACGTCACCAGGCTCCAAGAGCTGGTTTCACGCCCACAGCGGCACAGCCAGGAGTGGCAAGGCAGCCTGGCACCGGTGACTCCTCGGCGCCAGTTAGCCCCAAGCTCCCCGTCGCCGGGTTCGGAGGAGCTCTTTGTCCAGGTGACCCTGGGTGTCCCCCCACAGCCCCCAGCCCAGATGCAGGCCCCTCGGGAAGGGCACCGTGCCGGGCTCCCCCGGCGGGTGCTCGCCCAGTGCACAGACGCTGGGGGTCAGAGGCCCATGCCTCCTCAATGGGGTGGCGTCCCTGCCACGGCGCGCCCTGCCCCCCTTATCCCACCCACCGCCCCCCGGCCGGGCCTCACCGTCAAACTGGTACTGGATGATGTTGTTGAAGACCTCCAGGAGGAAGAAGACCAGGTGGTGGTTCTGGGCGGCCGAGAAGAGGAACCAGGTGGTGGAGAAGGCCTCCAGCAGGTGCAGCAGCTTGTTGGCGGCCACCATGGACAGGCTCTTGAGGTAGGGGGACACTGCGGGGGCGTCGGCTCACTGCTGGGGCCAGCAGCCACCCTGCACCGCCTGGGCCTGCGGGGCGCGGCGCTCCCACCCCGACCTTTCCTGCCGCCGCCCGTGAGCCAGAGTCTAAGGCCCCAGGGCCGAGGCTGCGCCGGCCACCCCTGCAGAGTCCCCCGACCCTCCACCGTGTGGACAGGCCCCCACACCTCTGGGAGGAAGGTGGGGCGCAGCCACCAGCCCCATTCTACAGGCGAGGAAACTGAGCTCAAACTCCCCAATTCACACATTTGCCGGAAATTCTCCGGATGTGAAACGGAGGACTGGACAGACAAGCTCGGCACCGCTCTCCTCCCGGAACATCGGGCTGATGTGGGATACGCGTTTATTTTTTTGTGCAGCCAGAGAGGGGCATCAGAGATGAGGGCCGGGCACAAGGCTGGAAGGCACATGTTGGTCCGTGTGTGTCCCCCTCAGGAGGTGGAGTGCAGGCAGTGCCCCCCCTCACTGATGCTGCTCACGCACAGCCACACGCACTGCAAGTTTGTGCCAGCCAGACTGCCAAGCCCGTAGCGCCCCCCCAAACCATCCTCTCCAGAAGGTGGCGGGGCTGAAGCCAGGCAGCCAGGCCAGCGCCACCCGCCTTGCTGGGCCCGCCACCCTGCCAGCCTGAGTGCCCACCCCTGTCCGGGTGGGCACACGACCCGGCCCCGCTGGACTCTTCCAAACCCACGAGCCACCAGGCCGCTGAGCGCCGGAACCCCCTTCTGGTCCTGACTGAGGGAAACTGCCCGGGTGAAACCGATTTTGAGGCCTGGGTGCCAAAGGGAAGGGAAATGACTTGGTGGCTGATACACCATGTGCGTGCTGAGGGCCGGCATCTGGGGTGCGGCAGATTAAAGAAAGGATAGCACAGAATTATCATGGCCGGTTTCTCTCCTTTCCCCTGTTGTATGCGGCTCTGGCCAGCGCAGGCCGCCGGCGGCCGCTGGACCGGCAGGTCCGCCTGGGGCCTGGCGCCCCCTGGCGGCGAGCACGGGGAGGGCGGCTGAGGGCGGCTCCCGACCTCCATACCGTTGACCACGATGGTGAGCAGACAGTCGAAGAGGGGCTGCAGCCGCTGGTGCCCGCTGGTGATGATCTTGTGGAACACCTGTATGGGGACAAAGGGGCGGTCGCGGGGTCCCCACCACCTCAAGATGCCACCAAGAAGGCCTCACCTCACCCCCAGGCCCTGGCCAAGGGATTCCCTCACCACAATGAGCAGGTCCGCGTGCGTCCCCGTGAAGACCGGGATGTCCATGGGCACGCGCACTGAGTAGGGCTTGTTCAGCCGCACCCCGAAGTTCCGCTCCCCACTCAGAAGCAGCAGGATGAAGACGCCGATGTGCATCAAGCCCACCCGAGCTGTGGCAAGTGGGACACGAGGGGTCACCTTGGGAGAGGGCGCGGGGGAGGGGCCCCACCCCCCACCGCCCCACCGCCTTACACTGATCGGCTCGGGCGTCGTTGAGGAAGTAGAGGATGGGGACCAGAATGTCCAAGACATCACTGCTCTTCAGCACAAAGAAGAGGAATTTCTGGGGGGCGAGCGGGGAAGGCAGGGTTGGAGGGAGGGGCCGCTCCCTCCTCCATTCCCCTGGTGGTTAGCCCCCCCTTCACGGAGCAGGCTCCATGCGGGGCTTCACCTTGTTGAAGTCACAGAGCTTCCAGAAGAGGACCAGCAGCTCCTGGTGGAACTGGATCTTCTTGGTGGAGCTGGGCAGGTAGGTCTGGAGCAGGGGGTTGGACAGCAGGCGGGCCACGCCCCTAAGGATGAACTGAAAGTCCTGGAGAGGGGGAGCAGCGGCCTGTGGAGCTCTGCCTGGGGCCAGCACGGGGCCCCCACAAACACCTCATCCCTGTCCCAGAGCCTGAGGCGCCCGATTCCCGCATGGTCAGTAGCTGTCCTGCGCCCGGCCCTCGGGGTCCAGAGACCCCACCCCCGGCCAGACCACAGCTTCCGGTGCCCAGTGAAGCTGTGCGCACCGCTGCCCCGGCCCCGCCCACTGGCCTCCGCGTGCGGCCCCTCGCCGTCACCCCGTCACCCGTGAGGGGCGCGCTGCTGTGCCGCAGGGCCGCTGTTCTCCGACCACCCACTGCGTGGGCGACACTGCGGCACGGGGCACCGAGTGTGCTTCCGGCTCTGGGAGCACAAGCACCAGCCCCAAGGGCGCGGGGCGCGAGCTCAGGCCTGCCTGTGACACTTAGTTCCAGCTGAGACGGACCTGGCGCCCCTGCTGCTGGGCCCTTTCCGGTCACGCCCACCCCGAGCCCTTTCCTGCATTTCAAAATCACAGGCACGGGGCAGCCTGAATCCCTGCCTTTCCGCGGAGGGGCCCGGGCCCCAGCCCCAGCCTGTGCGCCCCTCTCCCCCCAAAGGGGCCGGGGCCCCAGCCCACGCCTGTGCGCCCCCTCCCCCGCAAGGCCCTGCATTGTGCGGGGTGGGCACTGAGCACCCACCAGGGCCCAGCTGGCGCCCAGCTCACCTCCTCTCGATGGATGCGGGACAGGTAGTTCACAAACAGGTTCTCAGGCCCTGGGGGCTGTGCAGGATGGAGACTGGGGTGAGCGGGTGCTGCATCCCGCAGCCCACCCCAGGTCCAGGTGACTGGGCAGTGCCCCCTCCAGCCTCAGATGCCCCTAGGTGCCCCCAGGTGCCCCTCACCCCATTTCTGCTAGAGGGGGTGCTGCCCACTCACACCTGGCAGGGCTGCGCCCCACTCCCATCCTTACATCAGCATCGTCCATGGCGGTGCCTGTGGTGGTGCCATCCACTGTGGGGCTGGCGCGGGTGGCACTGTCGTGGTCCAAGGTGACAATGAGCACCTGGGCGGCCTCCTCCACCAGCGGCTCCCGGTAGTCGGAGAAGAGCAGGTGGTTGTAGGGGATCCCGTAGCCCACAGGGTCATAGGCACACACGGTGTTGAGCAGAGAGGTGAAGAGCGGCAGGGCGTGTCTGCAGCGGGAGAGGAGGGCCACGCTGCCAGGGCCGGCCGGCTCCCTCCACCGTCCGTCTGCCCGTCCGTCCATGCCCAGCCACCTCTTCGCCCACTGATACGAGCGTCCCCGGAACCCAGACTCCTTTTTGAGTAGAAAAGACACTTCTCCTTCCTCACCCGTCTCCAGGCTCTGGCCTGGAGGTCAGAGCTAGGTCCAGGGAAGAGAGCAGGAGGGCCAGAGGCGAGGGGTTGTTTGTAGGAAACTGGGTCTGCCCGTAGCTTGCCCAGGGAAGAACCTACTCTGCTTTTTCAGACTTATTTTTTCAGAGTAATTTTAGGTTCAGAGCAAATTTGAAAAGAAGGCATGAGATTTCCCATCTCCCCCCGCTCCACTTGCACAGCCCCCCATTACCAACACCCCACCTGATAGGGACAGTGGCACGGTCAGTGGGCTGCACCCACACACTGTATCACCCCAAGTCCACAGTCCACACCAGGGTTTGTTCGTGGGTGGTAGAATCTGGGACTTGGGTTAACATCCAGTGCACACCCCGAGGTTCAGGAGGGCAGGGACCCTCCTCTGGGGTTTGGGCAGTGGGAGGCCCAGGGAAGGTGGCTTCCCTCGGGCAGCAGAGCCTGCGCTCACTCACCAGCTCCCCGCCCACAATGACGCGATTGAGAGATTGTCGGATGTCAGGGTGCAAGCGCCTCATCTTTCCAATGAGGAAACTGAGCCCCAGAGAGGTTAAGTGGGTGCAAAGGGTGGCTGTCTGCCTGATAAGGCTGTGAGAAGAAAGCACCGGCCCGCCGCGGGCCATGGTGGTGGGGGGCCCCTGGGTTTCCTTCCCCTTCTGGACAAAGGAAAGGTCGGGCCGGAAGCCAGCAGACCCTGCAGAAGGAACGAGGCGTTCCCCAGGGAGCTGAGCAGAGGCCTCGGGTACGGGGTACGAGAGGGAGCCCGACCCTGGGGGCTCCCCGCCGCCCTAGTCTCTGGGCACAGCTGGAGGGGTGTAACTGCGCAGACACTCAATCCCACCACGGGCTGAAGACTCCTCCATCTCTTCACGTGAACCCCCACAGTCCTGGCATACCTCCCGGCCAGCTGGCTCCCCCATCTTTCCAGGGATTCATTACACCCCCTCCCCACTGCTGTCTAGATGGTATCAGCAATACAAGCTACACCTGAGTGTAGCCGGCCCACACACCGAGCTTTGAAAGTTAGCAGGAGAGGGGCCGGCCCCGCCTGGGTCATGTTCCGCTGTGCGGACCGGCTTCTTCTCTTGGGGTAAGAGAAATGCCTGAATGAAATTAGTTCCGCCTGTTTCTTTTTGCGTTTGTAAATGGCCCTATCAGGGCTACTTAAAGCCCACTGCAGTTCGCATTCTATTCCTACTGGACACGTGACTCTGAGGCAGGACACAGGGCAGGTGGCCCAGGGTCACCAATGGGCCGTGGCAGGTGCGCAGTGACGGAAAAGCCTCACCACTAGGGGGCAGCACCTCTCTCTCTCTCTCTCTCTCTCTCTCTCTCTCTCTCTCTCTCTCTCTCTCTCTCTCTCCCCCCCC